AACAAGTGACCAATTGGAATAGCAAAATCAATGTTCCAATTCCATTAGAAAGATCAATGCAATCCAGAAAGGAAAATAAGAGCAAATTTTAGTGATTACTACCAAATTGCCAGTTGCTGTAATTTTCACATAGCTAACCAAGCACTTACTCTTGGCAATTTTATTTGATTTTTTATGAAAGCTTTGCCCTATTAACGCAAAAGCTTGCCTTTAACTTAGATATTATGGAAAAATATGCCGTTTGATTCGGTTACATGAGTAAGGTAATCCAATCAGATCACATCTTGTTTTTTCTTTTAATGTTAAAGATAATTAGAATTTGAACCTTGGTCACTAAAATTAATAATTCAGCATTCTAATAACAAATCGTGCTTGTTTCTTTTTTTTAATAAAAAATTATCACATTCACAGGAAGTTTGGAAGTCAGTGTATCACTCAACTCCTTCAACATGCTCTGTCTCAAATAACAAGTTGGACCCATTTTTAGTTTTCACATGCTTACTTCCCCCATTTTTTCAGATATCTGTAAAAACAAGACAGGCAACATAAATAATGTTTGGTTAATTGCTCTGTAATACTGTATTGATGATGATACATGCTACCAGCATGCCCATACTTCATTCTGAACACGTGCGGACAGTGACTAGACGGCTTTAAATATGTACCTGCCTTCAATTTAATTTTCTCCAACGAATAGTCAACCATATTTGTTGCAGCCCGCAGCTTTCAATGCCAAATGGAGTATCTGTGTTCTGGCTTGGTATAGCCAATACCATGTTTGTTGTTGAGTTCTATAGTGCAACTTGTCATTGCTTATTATTCATTTCTAGCAGAAAAGAATGAGTCAGCTCAGGAGCAGTAAAATCAGTTTCAGCAAGCTGATTATAGTAATACTATGGTGAGCCAATATGGTTATCAAGATCAAGAGGTCCTGTCCAGTTTCAGCTCTAAATCAACAGATTGCTTCATTTGCTGGTGAGCTTTACTGAGAGGATGTTGATTACTGATTGTTTGTGACTAGAAAAACCAAACCCAAAAATATTATTGATCCGATGACTCGGTTATACAATAATCTGTCCGCCTCCCTCTTCTCAGAAATCCTCCATTACCGATGAAGGTTGAAGTATTGAACTCAATTCTAGGCTCTTGGAACAATTACAACTACCAAAAGAATTGGTGGCAGCAAAATTAGCTAAGACCTTCTAGATATTGAATCATGACATTAGTTTCATTATTATCTGCTAAGTGATGTCCCAATCTCATGCTCTTACTATTTCCTACTCTTATTAATGCCATAAACTCGATGTTTGTACTTTGTACTAGACTGTTGGATTTTATGCTGTAATTTCTCAACGCAAAACTCACAATTTTTAGCCAGAAAACCTGAAGAATATTATGAACAGTGATTTAAAAAGCACCTGAAATTCAATGCTTTGTATCCGTCAATTTGGTCACAAGCACATCCTAACGGCAATTTTAGAAACAAATTAAATAGAAGCTGTCTAAAATTGGAAATGGATATTGGAAAAGAATCTTTTAAATAAGTATAATGAAGCCACGAAAGAAAATGATTATCTTGCAACCCTTTACAGTAGCAATTGCTTAGCTTAAAAAATGAAAATAAAAGCAGAAAGATGAAAGAAACTAAATCCTAGATTGAGCTCCAGCCAAGGATTGTTCTTTATTACCTTCTTCATTCTCCCCTGAAATCTCCTCTAATGATCTTCCCTTTGGCTCTGGCACTAAGAATGTTAAGAATAATCCAAGAACATTAATCACACCTAACACTAAGAGAGAATTTCTCCTTCCAATTCCAGCCGGATAGCCTGGATCAACCTTAGATTTATCCTGATTCTGTGATGCATACAAGAAGCCAAAAGCTCCAATTGTGGCACCAGCCTTCCCTGCAGCAGCAGAAATACCATGGCAAGTGGATCGGAACCTGGCTGGAAAGATCTCCACTGGCACTACAAAAGTGGTAGTATTAGGCCCAAAATTGGCTAAAAAGAATGTCAGTCCGTACATTACAACAAAACCAATGTTGTTTTCTTTCAGAGTCCAGTGATGATAAGGAATGGCCAGTGCAAACATGAAGACAGTCATGAAGAGAAACCCAATCAATTGAATTGTGAAACGTCCAATGTAATCAATAAGGAGCACTGTGAACTAATTTCCAGGAACTGTGCCGCAAAGTGCTATCAGTGTTTGAGCTCTAGCAATCTTGAATAGCTCGTCCAGTGCACTCATGGTTTGAGCTGCTGGAAGCCAACCTACAGCACTAAAGATATCCTTTTGAAACAGATTCTAGCTATAACAAGCAATATCTAACAAAACCAAAGTAATTGCTGTCACCAACAAGTGCAATCCATGTTGGCTAAGAAATTCTTTCGAAAATAAACCGAAAAAGTTTCGTTTTTGAATAACCCTTTTCTCAGCTATGTCCTTCTCTGCCTGTATTTCTATGTTCAGAACCTTTGACATGTCTCCAAGAGCTTTCTTTTCATCTTTGGCAACTAAAGCAGTGTAACGAGGTGTCTCTGGCATCTTCGTCCGCCAATAATATGTCAAAGCAGCTGGCCAAGCACCAAACATGAGAATAATCTTCCATACATGGTCAGCATGGGGCACAGTTGAACCAAACGGATCTACTGAGTAAGCCGGAGCTTTATAAATTGCTCGGAAGATTGATGCAGTAACTATAGCCACGGCTCCCCCAGCAAGAATTCGGAATCCTTGCATTGCAAACACTGCAGCAATAAAAGCCCCACGAGTTTTCTTATTGGAGTACTCAGCCATTATAAAGCAGCTGGCCAAGCACCAAACATGAGAATAATCCTCCATACATGGTCAGCATGGGGCACAGTTGAACCAAACGGATCTACTGAGTAAGCCGGAGCTTTATAAATTGCTCGGAAGATTGATGCAGTAACTATAGCCACGGCTCCCCCAGCAAGAATCCCGAATCCTTGCATTGCAAACACTGCAGCAATAAAAGCCCCACGAGTTTTCTTATTGGAGTACTCAGCCATTATTGTAGATAGTCCCCTCCAATACCCAAACCAAGCCAAAACCTGAAAAAGCACAGAGTTCCCATCACAGCCTTTGGAGAACTACCAAAAGAAAGGCCTGAGGCAATGGAACAAATCATGATGAGCCAAAGGTTAATGCCATAAACTCGTTTCCTTCCTAACTTATCACCTAGCCACCGGAAGAACAGTTGTCCAGCCAGGGTTCCGCAAAGGGCAACCCCATTAACAGCAGCGGCTACGTTAGGCGGTAATGTTCCAGGCTTTGGTGAGCCGTCAACGTGGTAATAAATACGGCCAATGAGCTTGGTGACCTGAGATATGCAGAAAAGATCGTGAGCATCGCTGAAAAATCCCATACCGGAAATTATCACCGCTGTGAAGTGGTATAGTTGGGTTTTTGCCAAGTCTAGCATGTTTAGAACCTCAAGCGGCTGATCATCTTTAGCCATTGTAGAATTTCTTAGGATTTTTTTCTTTTTCTTTTTCTGTTGAAGTCTATAATGGATGCAAAGAGAGGTGGGGAGGGGGGGGGGTTATATAGGTTTTGTTGTGATGTGATACATCGTATAGGAATCAGGAATTCCTAGGCCTAGATAAATTAAGGATTCCTAGATGCAGATTAAAAAGTGATGCTTTATTTGAAAAAAAATATATAATTAAAATCAGAAAGTAATAAATAAAAGTTTTACCATAACACATTCCATTTAATTATCTTATAAAATTATGCATTTTGTTACTAGTATTTATGAATGTTAAAAATATTTAAATTTTTTTAAATGCGTTAGTTTGAACTTTCAATTTTATTTTTATATCCATTTTTTTTAATTTCTTGCTTTCAAAAATAGAGACAATATTTTAAAAAAAATCAAGCTCTACAAATATTAGTTTAGAACTAACGTGACTCTACAAATATGTCCAGGTCAACTCGCCAGGCTGGTGAGCCTGCCGGATTGAGTTGGATCTTAATCAAGGCTTAACTCAGGAATTTTTTATTAATAAATTTTTTGTTTAATTTTAATTTTAAAATATATTTTAAAATAAATGAATGGATAAACCAAATTTGAGACTTGAGTTGTCAAAATGTCAACTGAATTAGGCCCGATCCATTAACATCTGTACTCCTTTAAGAAAGATAAGGCTGTGGAGCAATACAATGCAATTTGACAGTTTATTAAGGGAACTAGAGCTGAGGATGCACCAATTGTCCCCATTTCTGCACAGCTCAACTGCAATATAGATGTGGTTTGTGAGTATATTGTGAATAAAATCCTAAGGGATTTGGTCTCAGAGCCGAAGATGAGTATAGTGCACTGTTTTGATGTCAACAAGTTAGGAGCAGGTATTTATGAACTAAAAGCCGGTTGTTGCAGAAGGAAGCATGCTTAAGGGTGTTCTGAAGGTGAATCAAATAATTGAGATCCGCCCTGGGATCTTAAGTTAAGATGATAATGGCGACTTAAGATGCAGGTCGATAATTTCGAGGGTGGTTTCATCGTATGCTGAGCTAAACAAGCTGGAGTTTGCTGTGCCAGGAGGTGTCAATGGGGTAGGCACTACCACGGATCCAACCCTGGCTCGAGGTGATAATTTGGGGGGTCATGAGTGCTTGGATCGATGCCTGATGTATGCGGAGGAGACTAGTTGTGAAGTTCTCCCTCTTGTGTAGGCTTGTGAGCATTCAGGAGCAACAAAAGGGTGTCCAGGTTGGTGAAAGGAGAGATGTTAAGATTGTACATTGGATCCATGTCAACTGGGCACAGAGTCGTTGCCATAGGCAACAGTTTGGCCACATTGCAGTTGAGCTGTCCAGTTTGCACAAGCACAGTGGATAAGGCTGCACTCAGCAGACGAATCAACAAGCAATGGCGGCTTATTGGATGGGGTTGCATCGAAAGTGGAACCCCCTGATCTACAAACCAATGATTAGGAAGGAGAATTTTACCTTTTTGCTGGGTTTGATTTTCTTGAGCTTCAATAGATTTCTTTTATATATTTATTTTTATTATGCTTAGCCAAATAAGTGTTTAGTTCTTGACATATGTTTGGACATTAAGGAAAAATACTTGAATAAAGATGAGATACAACTGTTATTGAAGGTATCAGCAGCATTTCGATTCATTATAACTTTAAAAGTAGTTAAGCACAACCTAGTGCTTACTCATTCATCGTTTGTCATGCATTTCTCATAGTTCACTCAGTTAACACCTCAGGGGATTCTATTATTCAAATAAAAGTGACAGGTTTGCTTTGAATATTCAACCTATATCTAGATTGCTTTGAAGGATAACAACTTCCCTCAATGTGTAACTAATCCAAATCCGGTGACATACCTTGGCCAAAAAATAAACCAAAACCGAGTTCCATTCCTTTTAATCACTTTTTCTTCAGCTTCTCCTTCATTCTTTCAACTGCAGATCTCAAAGTTTCTTCATCCTTGCAGAAGGTAAATCTCACCAATTTCTTTCCATCTTCTGGGTTCAAGTAAAATACACTAGTAGGAATTGCCACAACTCCAACTTCCTTGATCAGATACTCACAAAAAGCAATGTCATTCTCAAGACCAAAAGGGGTGTGATCTACCACAACAAAGTATGTTCCACTTGATGGGAATACCTTAAAACCAACATCCTTCAACCCCTCTATTAAAATTGCCTTCTTTGCCAAATAATCTCTCTTTAGCTCAACATAGTAGGAATCTGGGGCTCTGAGAGCCACTGTAGCAGCCCACTGCATTGGAGTGGAAGTAGCAAAAGTAAGGAATGAGTGCGCTTGCCGCACTCCCCAAGTCAAGTTTGGTGGAGCAATTGCCCACCCAATTTTCCACCCTGTTAGGGAGAATGTCTTCCCCAAGGAATTCATAGTTACTGTTCGCTCATACATTCCAGGAAGGGATGCCATTGAAATGTGATCCATTTCAAAAGCCAATTTATCATAAACTTCATCAGTAAAAACCAATACATCATTTTCAATGCACAGCGATGCAATGCTATTAAGTTCCTCGCGCGTAAACATCTTCCCAGTGGGATTATGTGGAGTGTTTATAAGAATGGCACGAGTATTCTTTGAGATAATGGACTTAAGCTCGTCAATGGGAACAACAAATTCAGGAGGCCGCAATGTGATGCATTTTATCTTGGCACCAGCCATAGATAGTGTCGCTTCATAAGAATCATAAAATGGAGCAAAGAGGACCACCTCATCACCTGGATTAATTAAGCCTAACATTGTTGCAGCAATGGCTTCAGTGCACCCAGAGGTAACTGTAACTTCCTTCTCAGGATCAATCACAAGTCCAGTATCCTTCTTGAAACGAGCAGCTATGGCATTGTTAAAGTCTGGAACTCCATATCCTCGGGCATATTGGTTTTTCCCATCTTTAATGGCTTGAATTGCTGCTTCTTTTACAAAATCTGGACCATCAAAATTGGGGAAGCCTTGGCCAAGGTTTATTGCTCCATGCTTGATAGCAAGTGTACTCATCTCAGTAAAAATTGTAGTTTTGAACTTCTCCAATCGCTTTGCAACCTGACAGTATATAAAAAGCCAGATATGACTTGGTTTTTCAACATGGCAAGGAAATGATGCTCAAGTCTTAAACTAAATCTGGTATTCAAGGAGAGGACCATTACTTTATGCTACAAACTGTTTAACCAAAGAATATAATGTTGCTTGAGCAGATCAATATTTAGAGAAACATAAGTAGCCATGTGCATAACATCACACAAACGCTCAATAAATTCTTGAATCTCCAAATCAAAATGATGATAGACTCAAGCCAGGATAAGACAGCTGCATATTGATCAAATTAAGAACAGGTGTCAAAATAAAAAAGGCATGGCAACAACAATCTCATTTTCTACTAGTTTCAGAAATTTATCATGACACCGATTTTTTACTACCATTTCCATGTGAGATCGGAAGAACAACATGATGGTGCTTCAATTTTTTACACTATTACTCATTATTTCCTGGAAGTCATAGAAAATCTCATAATCTCCTCAGTTCTAGAAATTTAGAAGGTTAAAAACAAGAGATTTCGATATTCTCTACATACAAAACAATATATAAATTCAAATAAGAAAATGCCCAATAAATAGAAAAAGCTCGTAAAGGAACAAACTTGGGTCGAAATTAAGATCAGAGTGAAATGAATTATAAAAGAACTGAAAAAAGCTAACCCCTTTATAAAGCCAAACCAAACCCATCAGAAAACACAATGCAACCTTGTGATAAAAAGGGCATTACCCAAATGACCGAATCACGAAAGAAAAAAAAATGCAATCACCAAAAAAAAAAAATGGTCTTTATTGCTTACCTGCAAGGGCTGCTGGGTGATTTGGTGAGTCCCGTCCTGGGTAGAAACATGGTCTTTCTGGGTGGAAACGGTGGCCATGAAAGATGAGTACTTTTTGATTCTCCTATTAGTCCAGAAGAAAGAAGAATCAATACCCTTTCGAAAATGCTTTGAGGAAGTAAAGAGTGTTGCTGGGGATTTGAAGCAAAGAGGTCTAAGCATTTCGAACTGTGTCCAGGTACATTGAACCTGCATCAGGAATAATTGACCCTTTTTCCTTTAGGAAGTTCGGAGTCAGATGAAAGAGCTTGAATGAATTTTGCGAAAGAATTGAATATGCGAAGAGAAAAGTAAGAAAATCTAGGGTTGGTGTGGTTCATGCCACTTTGAATAAGTTTTGACCGTCAGATCAAAGATCAAATTTGGTGTGTTTGACGGTGGAACACTAATCGTGTGATTCCCTGCGCGTTCCTCGTGGCTTTATTCCCCTAAAACGAATATCAATTAAAATTTTTAAGCTTCGTCCACATAATTTTTTTCATATTGATTTAATTAGGTTTATTTATTTGAAATCTAATAAATTTATAAAAAAAAATACATTTTTTGTAATCTTTCAAGGTACTCAAAAGAAAAATAAATTCTCTACCACGTGATCCACATTTATTGATTTTCAATTATTATTTTTTTGTTATATTAGGAGGATAAAATCTTAATATAAATAAAAAAAAATTTAGTTTGAAATCAAGCTTTTGATGTCTTCTCAAACGTAATTAATCACTAGATTAACAATATATTTGAATTGAGAGAAAATGAATAAAAAAAAAATAAAGTAAAGAAAAATAAAAAAACAAAACTCAGTTCTCTTATTTGAATAAATATTTAATTTAAAGAAAAAAAAAGTGAAAACTAAATATCCTTTGATTTTTTTTATAAATTTAATATTTTTAATATCTCAATTTGAAAAAAACCTAAGGAAATAAAAATTGAATTTTTTTTATAAAAAGATTATCATGTCTATCTTTTTATTAATACAAAAAACTTAATAAAAAAAACTTAAACAGATTACAATCATTTTATAATTTTTTCAAAATCATCTCTTTTTTTTAAGTAAGTTTCATATATATCTTTTAATATAAAATTTTTTATAATTTTTTAGTGATTTGATTTTGATGAATGGTTGAATATAAATAGATATATTTTTTAAGTTTATGAGAAGTTAGATTAACTCAAAATTTATTAATGTATACTTGTAAAATATCTTTCATTTTACTTGATTAAAAATCATTGATATAGTAATAATTATGAAGTCAGATAATATAACAAACATATTATGATCTAAGAATGCTCTAAAATTACAAGTAATGAAATGTTATAATTAAAAAAATTATTATAATAAATCATTTTTTTTTACTTTCTATCCAAATAATAATTATTAGAATTTTTTTTATTTTTTTATTAATTTTAATTCTTTAAATAAAAATTACATATATATTTAATTTTTTATTAATATTTATTCAAACATCACGTAAAAATTTAAGAATAATTATTATTTCATTATTCAATAAATTTTGATTATGTGTAATTATTATAGGTGCAATGATTATACGTGTAATCATTATATAATAAATTTTGATTATGGGTGTAAAAAGTATATTAAACATTTCAACCACGTAATTATGAGTCCTACAAATTGAGATATCTTAATTTTTTTTTTCTTACAAATTTAAAAACATCTATAACCAAAAATGAAAGTTGTCTTTAATTGATACTGTTCATCAAGATTTTCAAATTTACTTACATGATAATTGACTGATATTTTTTTTTAAATGGAAGCAAGACGTGCCATTTTACTCAAGTCAATGAAAAAAAAAATCTATAAGTACACATTAAAAGTGTCTCAAGCCGAAGACCGTTCATTAGTTTGTCTTTTCTCCACGTGTCATTCATTTATTGGTTCTTTCCTTTGACATTTTTGGGCTTTTAGATTTAACTTTTTCAGCTGTTAAATTAAAAAAATATAAATGTTTTCGACGTGAATTAGAGCTTCTAGACATAGAAGCTTTTGGAGTCTTATTACTTCTTGAAAAAAAAAATCAAAACTAAAGCAAAAGCTTAAAAAAAAAAAAAGAAAGAGAAGAGGAATGGGGAAGGATAAGAAAGAGGGGGAGGCGACGTATGAGGGAAGGAACTACCGATCGACGTAGACGGAATCTGCAATGGGTGCTGAAGGACCAATTGGAAAGGCAGCGTGAAAGGGAGAGGTTGAGAGAGGGAGAACAAAGAAAAAAAGTCGCCAATGGACAAATAGTAACGGCAATGGTTTCTATTTAAGACCAAACCCAAAAAGGTTAGTCTTAACTTTTCAAGTGTTTTTAGTTCCTGATATTTACGGAAGAAAAAAAAAAGTTTGCTTTGGTAGTTTTCTGATTTTTTTTGTTGTTCTTTTGAAGGGATTATTTGTTGATCGAACAATTAGCTTGATTGTTTTTAGATCGAACAACTGGGGGATCTAATCAAACAAAAATTGTAGTGGGTTGTTCATCAGATACAACTTGAAATGTTAGTTATTAGATCAGATTGATTAGTTCCTGCTTCAAATTATTTGTTTGATCGATCAATTAAGGGATTTTTGTTTGATTCGTTCAAATTTAGGTTCAAATACATAATCGCTTTGGATTAGAACAAAGGGGATTAGTTCCTGCTTCAAATGTTGTGGAGTCACAGGAACAAATACACCTATAGCAGCTTAGCTAATCTTACCTTTTGCACTTATAGGCACTGGTGATCTATAGGTACGATGTTTTTACAGTAATGAAGTTATAAGTTATTTTTCTATGCCTACATGTCAATAAACTTGGGTTTCCTTTCAGAAAATTGCTGGCAAGGTTGGAGTGCTTACGAGACACGTTCCAGATAAAAGAAGGAGATTTTCTTGCTTTTAATGCCTTGGTATGATTCTACATCCATTTTTGTACTGAAGGAAACTTGCATTTTCTTGACCATGCTGTTATGAAGTGTGACAACCATTTCTTAACCATGTGACTTTGTTAAACCGAGGCAAGTTGCTTAATGTGTGGGCCGAGATATCCGTTCAAAGGTTGACTATGGGATGATAATATTTGCTGATAAAAGTTAAATATCTCTTTACTCTTTTTTTAGTATTTTAAGACTAGGAGTTCTGTCCTTGAGCTAGAAGCATTCTTTTCAATTAGCTGCAAATCATTTGAACCTATAATTTATATTGTCGGCCTTAATTTTGTGGTTGTAGATTTTTCTGCCCCTTTGCCCGCCTAAGGTTTGTAATTATGAAAGTATTGTTAAAGTTGTTAACAGAATAAACGCCCACGCCCTATGTTTGAAAATTAAACATGTGTATGCACTTATACAGCTTATTAAATCCTGGTTCAAATACGTATACACTTATACACCAGTCAAATGAACCTTTTGTTTTGACTTTTCTAAAGGAAAATTGTTAAAAGGAGGAGGAAAGAGGTAGCATGAGGGATTGGGTCTATGCATTCTGTGTAATCCAACGAGAAAAGAAGTAAAATTTAGAATGGATTCTGATTAGATAGGTCTTAATGGTAAAAGAGGAAAACATGCAAATGTAATAGGCCTTATATACTGAAAGATTATCTCTTTTCAGTCACCTACCTTTTGGGTATTTGAATGTTGTGAGTTTGCATGTAGAAATATTGTCTTGCATCTTAGCAAGAAGATGGCCATAAAACAGGTGCAATAGAGAAAGGTCATATAGTTAATCATGGGTTGTTTAGGATTAAAATTTGGGTTGAAATAAGTATGAGAGTGATGCACTTTTGCATGAGTTATATAGTAGCCCATTCTTTTAATAATTTATAACCAGCAGGAACTTTACAGAAGGGCAATAAAGTTTCTCAAAGCTCTATCATTGGACTCTGAAGGATTGAAATATTAAAACATTTTTCTTGTCATATGTTTAAGCAATTGAATAACTATTTCTCCTTTTAATTGCTTAGGTGCAAATACAAAACTTAGTATAACGGATATTTCAACCCTGGCAAGAGGTACGGTCAAATGCTTCACATCTTTTTTTGTATTTTAAATATTTAGTTAACAACTAATATAGATTGTGCATGTTAATAAGCTGACAAAATTCTAAATATATCTTTTGAACTTTCAACTTAACTGTTTAATGTGAGAACATATATGGACTCCTTTTATTATAATGTTATTTTTACTTTAATTATCATTAATATGTTACGCGATAAATGCTGCAATGAGCTGCAGGGAAGTGAGGTTACTGTACTATTAATTCCAAAATAGAAAACTTCAAATCTTAGAAGCTAAAATCTTGGCATTTCATAAGGATTCGTGTTAAAATCAAACATTTCTTGGATTACATACAGCTTTTATATTCATTACAAGCTTTCAGCTTGTGAAAAATGTGAATAAAGATCTTACAAATATATATATATATATATATATATATCTCCGTTACATTTTCCTGACTAAACCTAAATCTTAGACTATCTATTGGGGTTATTGATACACCGAATCATAGACCTTACTTCTTCAGTGTTTTGGCACATACATAGAAATTCAAGGAGATTTAAGCCTTAAACTTTATCTTTTATATTGAGAAGTCAACAATTGATGGAAAGATCTTCACATATATATATTTTTATGAAAGTAACTTATATACTATAATAAAATTTTTAAATTTCACAAATAAAATTAAATAAGTAATTCATCCCCTACTAAGGTTTATTTATTTCTCAATTATAGCGACATGCAATTTGAGTTTGAGTTGTTTTTATATATTAACAATAAAGTTTTTAGTTTTGTAACGGAATTAAAAGAATGATATATTTTTTATTTAGTTTTTATTAATATATTCTAAGCATATAAATTACTTTATTAATTTTATTTGTGAAATCTAAAATTTTTTTAAATGATAATTAACGAGATAATATCACTTTGATTTCATCACCAACCATAATCGGGCTATGAGGATTGATGCTAATGAAGACCCAAAGAAACACATTACACCTCTACGACTTGAAACCCGGACTGAAAGTCTACTTGGCCCATATCTAGAAGTCTCAAAAATGAAAAATTCGGGCCTTAAGTACTGAAAAGAAATTGTGGGCCTTGGCCCATACATGACAACTCTTTTCTCGTGTTATATTTGGTCAAATAGCAAAATAAAGTTTAAATATAATCCAACAACTCCCATTCAACATTTAGTATTTTTTTTTTATTAATTTTTATAATCATAAGTTTTGAAACACTTAAGGTTCAAAGGACAATTTTTATGTTGTTCATATTTTCATGGAAGCAACTGTTTATGCTAATGGATATATTATTATTATTATCATTTTTACAAGAGAATGACTGCTAGAGTGTGACTCGTGAATATTCCTAAACATATCTTTAAAAAAAGAATTAATCTTTGTGGTTCCTTTGCCACTTGCCAGGTCTCTTTGTCATCCCTCTCATTTTAAATTGTGGCATCTTTATCTTTATATTTTAGTCTTTTTATTTTAATTAAAAAATACTAATAATTCAAATTAAAAGTTTAATATTTTATCAATAAATCATGTGAATGATGATTTTTTTAATTACTGAAATCAGTTTTAAAAAATAATGGCAAATTGATACAACAATATAAAAACTTTGACAATATTTGCTATAAGTAGTCCTCTTGAAATTCAATTTCGACTTTAAAAATTTCAAGGTCCATATATAAAATATCTTTTCAATAAAAATTATCATGTCAATTTATGAAAGCTTATGCACGTTGCTATTTGTGTGTGTGTGTAAGGGGAGATATGTATATGTAAATTTAATTTCTGTTTGAATATGATCCCCTAAAATATATATAGCTCCCAAACATGATTAAAAATTAGATATACCTAATAAAATTAAAGCTATGCCTTCAATTACCTGATAGGGAAACTGCTGCCTTCAATTACATCATGCTTGGGCCGAAGGTCTTGACTGTCTCTCCATTTTTAAAAGCATCAACTTGTCGCAATTGCATCATCATATATGTACAAGTCATTAATTGTAAAGCTTTGTTAATAATTAGCAGTGCAAACTTTGCTTAATTCATGATCAAACTGAAAACATAAAATAATCTAAATAATAATAATAAACAATAGCGTAATATTTCTTAATTTAAGGTTATATATAATAGTATTTTTTTCAAAAATGCTGATGGTGGACTGACAATGCATGAGGCAAGATTAATTATACGTGAAGATATGTGTACAATTTATATAAAACAGTGTTGTTAGGCTTAATTTTTTTCCTTAATTGATCTAACGGATGCATTTTCTTGCATTGATTTGCTGTGTTTAAAATTTTAATTTCAAAAGTATTTGCCATAAGATCGAACTCAGATTGATTTTTAAAAAAAATCATTTTTCCCAAGAAGGATCTTTTTCTGGTGATGCATGAGATTTTGCAGTGTGTTAAATAAATAGAATGGTATAAGGTTGGAACAAATTTAGCTCTCTTTCCAATAGTCTGTCAACAGATATAGCTCTCGTTCCAAAAATCTGTCTTCAAATTTGACAAAGGAATAATTCGTGTCTTGTGTCTTTAAGTATAACAAAGATCCAAAGATTAAGTTGGCTGTGAAAGGCACATCCTGAGGAATCTTCTTGAACGACTCTGATACTCCTTTAAATCAAAAGGCTGGCTTACGCATGTTGAGAGAGGGCGATGCCAACAACCTCCAAAAATTATAAGATCTCTCTGATCTTCATGTTTGATCCAGTTCCAAGTTCCAACTAAAATGTTTCATTCTATATCCACTAATTGTCCAATGGTTTGAGGTTGTGTTGAGACAATCAACCACCGATTGTTTGATTTTTCAGATCAATGCCATTGCATTTCTCATACTTAGATGAAGACAATATTAAACAATCTTGATAATCTCTAATGGTTCAAATTATAGTAGTATTGTTGTGTTGAAACTATGGGGAGTGAGACAAGATCAAGATCATGTGTACAAGTCTGATCATCCATGACCAAGTTGCTTGGGTACCCCTTTTTTATTTTTTATTTTTGAAATGCAACATCCAACAGATTGTGCAATTTCAGCCTAATGGTCTACAATCGCATTTGGCATTTCTAATCCTATAAAAAGTAAAGCCGGGAATTTGATGGAGATCTCTATATGTCCTGTGAGTAGTACCTGCAGGAGAAGAGTTGAAAGAGATTAATTTTTTTTTTTTTTTACACCAGAGCAGATTTTATTTTATTTTTTTGAAGTCGTTAGGCTGTCGCTGTGGAGCAAAAAGGAAGTGAAAGCAACAGCCAGTGAAAATAAAAATTTGAAGAAGAAAAGAAAAAAAATTAATGACACCGACAGAAAATGAAAAAGAAAACCTCAAACGAGGAAGAGATAGCCAACAATGATACGTACGGCGGTCCCAATTATTTTCAAATCAAATGTAACGCACACAACAAGGAAGATAATAAACAAACTCAAGTTCTTACAGACAGCCGAATTAGCGTAAAACCAAATCAACAAATTTGGGATTTGACTAACTAGGTGTATCGAGCAGTTTGGTCTAAGATTTTCTTGAAAAGGTTCAAAAATTAGCCACGTATGGATGCCAGGGGATGATAAACAATGTGCAGTGAAAGAAAAGACTGATTTTTTAACTTTTTACTTTTTACAACTCTGTGTCCGGAGAAGTCCAAAGAGAAGCTGAAAGCAAACGCCTGGATTTCCAACCTAAGATAAGCCTGTTATTGGCCAACTCCTCGACTCTGTAACCATCATTGAATAAGCCCAGCAGAAGCTTTGCTTGACAATGATTAGCAAAGCTGATGTTAACAGGCTTGAATCCCACTGCAGCTAACCATTTTGACCAAGGACAACTCTCTTCCTCTCCCTGGGTTCGGTATATCCTGGCCAATGATCCGGCTATTTGAGGCCCTAGAAATACTCTTTCAACCAAGGCCCGAGCCCGGCTCTGCATAGGAAATCCGGCTTCTAGAGAGTCGTACACGGCAGAGTAATGGTGCAATGAGTCCATGAACCGCCCCACGAAGCCCCCATCTCCAATGGGTCCGATTTCTTCTTCCACCAGGGTTACCAATCTTGGGTTCAGGGTCTTGGCGCCAGATAAAAGTGAAGCGACTGAATCAGGTGCTCGATAGCTAAAGTGAGGCAAGTGCAACATACAATTGATCACTAAGGCCTCTCCTCTAACTAACTTCACAGCTGACGGTCTAAACGTTTCATCAGAGTCCAGCCTACACTGATGGAAAGAAAAGGGCTGCCCAATGGAGGCTGCAAAAGCGACTAATCGTCGACCAGTCTCTTGAATGGTCCCAATTGATGACCGGCCACTGCCGCCTCTTGATAAAGCCGTGATTCTAAGATGTGGGGTTGGTGGTCCGTCCTTCCTAGACGCCAAGGCTTGCATCAAAGACGCCCATTGGATCCCCTCCATAATGTCAAAGTCCACTATGTGGATCCTCCTGTCATGAGTCACAGCTTCCAGGATTGCTTGATTGGCCGTAAAATGACCAAATTTAACATAAGGAGACATGTCTTGCAACAGCTGAAAAGCTGCAAGCATGTCCGTTTGATGGTGCTCATTACGGTGATGCTGAGGCCCACTGGTTATCAAATGCTTCCCATGGCCACCCCCGGAGCCTTCCAGTAAACCCTGTAAGGCTTCGGTAAAATATGCCGCCAACCTTTCCATGTTGGTTCCATCATTGGGGGACACCAACTCCTTGAGCCGAACCAATATCACCCGAGCCAGTTCTCGGCTCTTGTTAGCCCCTGTTAATGCCTCGGCGGCGGCCATCAACAGGTGAACCAACCGCAATCCCTTGAAATCCTCACCGTTCGTTTCTTGGTGGGCAACCATCGTATCAGTTGAGACAGAGTTACTCGTTTCATGGCCTACTCGAGCTAGCTCTAACTCTGTTCCATCATCCATCATGGACTCAATGAGGTCTTGGAACTCATCACGCTCGCTTGATAACGAGTCCCAATCAACAACAGGGGAACCCCAGTCGTTCCAGGTACAGGCAGGGTCATCGTCTGTAGTGGTGGTGGTAGTGGTTGTGATGGAGCTGTAGCTAGAAAAGTCGACCTCGAATGCGTTGTCTATCGCCATGGCCATGGCTAGCTACAAGATTAAGGACTTTGGGGGTGTCAGGTTTGTGTGAAGGGTGTCTGATGTTTGGTTTAAAAAAGGGGTTTGAGTGAGGAAAAGAGCTGGAACAAGAGACACTAAAGGT